TAAATAAAGGGCTTCATTGTCAAATTTGCATTGTGCCGCTGTCGCCGTTGAGATACGACGTCATTTGATTCCAACCGTGCAGTTCTGGGGTTTTAATGACATATCGGGTGCCATGTAAATGACATACGATGTGGAAAAATTTTTTTTATTGTTTTTTTGTTTAATTTTCCCCCCTTCAGATCATCAAGAAATCTTGCATTGAGATCTTGGCAGCTGAGCCGTCCAGCGTGTGCGCAGGAGGTGGGGTGGATCAGATATTTGTTTCACGGTCTGGGCACTTGGTTAGACTTTAAAAAAAAGATCCAAAAAGAGCTCATTTGTCAGTGTTTTCATTCAATTCGGTTCATACCACACCCGTTACGCCACTTGAACAAGGCAGCATTAAATGTGCTCTTGCCATGGCATACTAGTCTCATGGGTCCAAAATGTTGGTATGTAACCAGAGACTTTCCAAGTGGTGGTGAGGGGCAACGGGTTCCTCCATGGCAGGAACATCAACCAGGTGCTGTGCAGTTTTAAAATCAACGACACCGTCACAATCAGTAAGTAGACACCCTAATGCTCCAGAATGAACCGAAAGGACGTGAAAATAAAAATGTGCACGATTCACATTGTAGATGAGAAGCCTGCGAGTGTAGAAAACACCTTCCTGCTGTGTCCTGCTCCTGTCATTGACGAAGTCGGGAAGTAAGTATCTCTTTGTCACAAATTGAATCACCGGTTGCATCAAAGTAACCCAAGGATCAAGAATTAGACTTTTTTGAACAGCATATTTGCATGAGTATGGGTTGAAACCGGCTTGCTTGAGGGGCTGCGCCAATGGTGAGCGCCCCCAACGTTTGTGAAAATAACAACAAGCGGATCATTTGGCCGTCTGCTCTTCTTCCACCTGGCTCAGTGGAAAGCTTTCGTGGTGGCCAGAAAACAAGCACGCAAGACAATGAAAGCAGTTTTGCCACTTGTTTTTTTTTTACACTCCAAAGACAGAACTACTTGAATGCAGCATTCAAGTACATTTTCCACAATGTCCCCTTTAAACGCTACCGCAATGAATACCGGGTGCTCATCATCATCCGCATGCATTCTTTGAACACGGAAAAACAGCGTCGCATGCATGTGTATATTCAAACACAAGGAACAAACATGTCCACTTGACCCTATCCAAGGTACCTTTTCTCGCCGAATTCCAGGGCGGCTTACTAAAATCTAAGCAGCTCTGCAATGCACTTGAAGCCTTTGTGCATTTGCTCTGCTTCCGTCTTGAATGAGAACACAGCAGTAAAATCTGTCGTCGCAAAATGAAGACATAGACGCTGCGTATTTATTTGAAGCCCAGCCGCTGAGTTTATAAATTGCTTACAGTATTTGTAATGCTGCCTTGCACGCAAGATCCATACACGCATGAATTAATCACCTTGAGTTTACTTTTTGGACTGAGCCTAAACCAAAATCAACATTCGATCTGCCTCTCAAAAAAACTGGGGAAGTTCAAAAAGAAAAAAAAAAGATTGAGATCCCGATTTTTCACAACTTAACCATTTTTTTAAATATGAAAGGCAACACAAAATAAATTAATAAAATAAAATGTAGTTCCTGATTTTAATATGACTTCCTCACAAGAGTTACCAACCAAATTTCCAGACGATGTTAAAGTTATTAACGTGGCAGCGGCATTGTGGAGACATTTCATCATGCATCACACATCATGATTGATGCCGTGGCAAAGAAGTCATAAAAATGAAGTGTTTTCCTGCCTAAAACACAGACAAGAGTGTCCCACTTAAAAAAAAAAAAAAAAAAAAAATCCTCTAAAAGTTAAAAACTTTCCATGGCTTCATGCATTACCACCTAACCATCTGACACTTCAACCGTTTCCCTCACTGGCCTTCTTTCTCTCTGCTTCTTGACTTTTGCTGTCACTATGGCTTCACAAACCATATATGCCCCCCCCCAATCCCCCACGTTTCACCCCGTCCCTTAAAAAAACAAAAAACAAAAAAAAAAAACCCTTGTCATCTCATCAGCTTTATCAATCTCGCTGGGCCGATCAAAGCCTTGTCACAGCGAGTGGGGGTCTTTCAAATGTGAGGTCATGTGTTGAGTTTGTACACGTCTCGCTTCACAGTGTGGTGGAAAGGCCGCAGGGAGAGCTCTTTCGCAACTTTTCAGCACACATGGCCATTAAAAATATTTGCGCACGTCGGAATGTCAGTTACAAAAACCGGAGACTGGTTTACTTCGGAGAAATCCGCAATCTTGTCATTTTGTGCGTTATTTTAAGCCTCTTAAATGCAGCCAGATGGAAATTATTTTGAACATGGATGAATCTCATTTCTCGTGTTTCCATAAATATACATTCAAAAGATGAGATGGTAGGAATTTATACTACACGATGCTTCTTCTGGGGGTTTTATGAGTCCTCCTGATGTATGCTACTCATCTACTGCATCTATCTTTTATTTAAGTGAGGTACACACAAACCAATTTTTAACATCAGGACTGCTTTAAGCGGTGGTGCGAGTTACCTTTTGTGAGACGGATTGCGGTTTGAGTCACGGTAGAATTATTGCCCGCCCACCCCAAGCAGAACGTGGCCTGTTAACATAAACCTAGACAACCAGATATTGTCTAACGTACTCCACTTTCACTTCATCACATATGCTCCTGATTACAATCAGTATATGTGACGCGAACAACCAAACCACATCTGGAAAAAGCCACCCCCTCCCCACATATATCACGAATCAAACGTCCATTTTTTAAACTCACGTAATAACAGTGTCAACGTCACATGCATGGGTCTGTTGATGAACTGCACCCACAAAGCCTTCTCTTATCGCCAGACCGCTTTTGTGTGTCAGTGTGAAACCGGGTTTATCAGCTGGTCGCCTGTTTTCCATCTGCGAAACCTCTTTCACGTTCACTCATTCTGTCAGTACAAAACAAGTGAGGGACTTTAGGTGGAGGGGGGGCATCCAAATGCGTCCCTGTTTTTTCGTAACTCAATGCCGAAGGATCACCAGAGGTCACGAGGATTTCCCAGAATTGTTTTTCCCACCCTTGTAGAAGGGAAGGATTTGACTTTGTGTTTAGTGGCTGTAGGTGAGGTTGACCTTACCTCCTTAGTTTCAGAGGTTCGGTGACATTTGGTACCAAATTCAATGGCTTCATTCGAATATACATCAGACTAAATAAAAAACGTGCTAGGCATTGACCCTCCCGTCCCCCCACCAAATTAAATTGCGGCTGTTGTTTTTTTTCAGGGTGATTTATCTTCAAGTGAGCATGAACGACGGTCTGTCTTTCATCAGCAGCAACGTGCACATCACCACCACAGAGTGTGTAAGTGGTAGCTTATTGGTCTGGAGGGTTTTGATATCTTTATTGATAGCGTCCAGTGTTACAATCATCTTTCTGTCCTCTTCAACTGTAGTCGCGTGTCCACCAAATGTTATAGTTTACGAAACATCATCTGGCTTGCGTTCCCATCCAAGAAAGGACAGCTTACTATGTCAGCCACTTCAATCGAGCGATAACATAACATAACACAGCTACTGAATTTTACAAAAACAACTTGACATGCGAAATGAAAGATAACAAAGGCAGCAGAAGATGAACATCAAATGTGACCCTTTGGATACTGTAGCAGCACCTCAACCAAAAAGTGTATTATGTACGTATGGAATCTTTGTTCATGGAAACACAACATTGCATTTGTGACCTTTTTTGACCTTGAAATAGCAGTTTCACATTTTTTTTTGGGAAGGTACAGCGTCTTTGAATAAACAGCAACCGTACTCTAAATCACCCACTTCGGAGGTCTATAATATTGGCGGACCAACATTTCCAAATTATGCTCCGCGAAAGCAGTGGAGTCATATTGCGTCATACTTGTTTGTGCCAGCTATTTTCACGGAACTCACCGACGTACTATTTGACTTCTAGGAAACAGTTCATCAGTCCACCGGTGGTGACTGGCTGACGGCGACGGTGTTGCCGCCGATCTCTGATAAACAGCCCGCGAGAGACAAAGCCTTAAGTCAACCCGGCATCTGATCCTCATCTGTTGTCCGTAATGGGATCCATACTTGGCTCGCAGACATTTAGCTCAAAGTTACTGACGGATTCGCGGAGGGATTTCCCAGATGACGTCAACTGCTGTCATCGAGGAGAAAAAAAATCAAATAAACGAAACGCGAGAATGACCACTGACAGTCAAAGCCTGAAGACAGCCAATGAAACGTTTGGAAAGTTGTTTGTTGACTGCAGCAATGGTCACACCTTCAACAAAAATCTATTCGTTCGACTACCTCGAGTGCAATCGCTTCTCTTGATTTTGATGTGTTACCGTGCATGATTTTTTTTTTTCCTCACGGACGCGTCCAGGGCTACATCTGGATGTCATCTCAATAGCTTGGGGTGATGCCTTTAACATACTGCTATTGTGCTTTTGACTGTTAACCTTTTACCCCCCCCTTGGGACCATACCTGCACCTTTTTGGAGCGGATGGATGACCAATCCGAGTGAGCAGTTCAGTTCGTGTATCTGAGTAGGAATTTACCTTACTGTACTTCTAGTCCTAGTCACATAAGATGGCCTCGCTGGAAAAGAACCAGCTTTAGTCATGTCCTGAGATGAAAGCAGCCTGACTGATTTGGATTTCTTTTTAGTGCCACCCTGGGTAATGTCTGAGATAAGACGATGTCTGCGAGTTTCGTCAGCTTCCTTTTCTTTTACGCTATGTTTCGTCTACAGTTTGATGGCACCATTCTTCTCATCACCCTGCTGGTGTTGTTTCTCCTCCTTGCCCTACTGCTCATGTGGTGGTTCTGGCCTCTCTGCTGCACCGTGGTAAGAACATGAAAAGGAAACGTTCTGTCGAAAAAAATGACAGGAACACGAGGTCGCTCCAAAACACTCTTGAGAGCTCAAAGGAAGGAAGCTATTGAGATGAATGTGGTTGTGAGAAGCGAATACAAAACCACATTGTTTTTTTTACCTCTTGGGAACATGTCAAATTTGTGCTGCTTTTCCAGGTGATCAAAGAACCTCCTCCTCCACCTCCTCCTGAGCCTGTAAGTTGGAAAAACACCAAAGCTATGGGCACATCTCTCAATAACCCGAACTCAAATTAGACAACAAAACTACACGATATAAGGAGTCCAAGTAACAACAAGCCTTGCTTGTGAACTGATGAAGGTAATTTTACTTTTTGGCTCTTAAAAGGAGTCAGATGACGAAGATGGTCAGCCAAAGAAGAAGTGGCCCACTGTGGACGCCTCATATTACGGAGGGAGAGGAATTGGAGGGATCAAGAGGATGGAGGTGATGCATATTACGGACAGGCGATAGTAGCAATCAAAATATTCATGGGTAACATTTCACACTTGTGTCTGAAAAAGGTGCGCTGGGGCGGAAAGGGCTCTACCGAGGAGGGGGCGAAGCTGGAGAAGCCCAAGAACGCGGTGGTGAAAATGCCAGAACAGGAATACGAACCCTTTGAGCCCAAACCTAAGAAATCTCCCAAGAAGCCGCCTCAGAACCGGAAGTGGTACACCCCCATCCAGGTAGGATTTTAGTTTAGTTTAGTGTGCACGGAGAGCTCGATGTAAACAACGCGGGGGCCATTCATGGGAGACGCAGCGCTTACTGTTATCTGTACACATTGCCTGTGAAACTGTACAGCCTTGTGTGTTTCTGCGTGACTTGAGCGCTGCTGTGATTCATGGCGAAAGGCGACACCCCAGTCAGCAGTCGGAAAATCCGGTCCAGTCACTATGCACGCTGACTGGACTCCCCTTATGTCAGGAAAGAACCCCCCCTACAGCACACTTGCATTTAGGTTCTGTTTCAAGATGTAGGCCACCCTTCTAATGTTTCATTGAATATCATAAATCCCAGTTATGAGTCGCATAAACTGATCGTCTGGTAGAGAGGAATGAAGCCGGATTCCCATCGACATCTGTAGCCACGGCGTTATGCCAGTTTGGGGGGTTTTTTTGCCTCTGTCTTGGGTCCCGTGCCACACTTAATGAAGGGTATCAGCCACGTGACTAAATAAACATCAAGTCAAATAGAGCAGCGTGGATTTATATCGTTCAATCCTAAGGTTCTGGATTGTAATATCAATTCCTGTGTGGATTTGATGTCTTCACATTTCCAAAACTTGAATGTTAGCTTAATCGAAGAGAACAGCGGCTCGTACAGTATATACCCTGCATTTGACAACCAGTCCGGGGTGTACTCTGCCACTCGTCCAACGGCATCTGTCAAGCCAAATTATATTTCAGTACTGAGTCGAAAGATGCGATGTTCTCATCTGTCTCATTCAGGGGAAACTGGATGCTATCTGGGCACTGTTTCGTCGCGGGTACGACCAGGTCTCTTTGATGCGACCCCAGCCTGGCGATCATGTAAGTAGCCAACAGGACGACTCTCCTTCATCTCTTACCGCCCTCCGGCTGAATTTATTTTTGCCCTCAAGCCGACTTAAGATCCTCTGCTTTTTGATCAGATGCATTTTTTTTTTTCCATGTGTATCATTTTAACATGATTTGAGAGGACTAAAAACAATGCGGATATTGCCACTGCCAGGAACCGAAAATAGTTCCTGGAGCTTTGTTTCCAAAAGTGAATATAATTACCCATTCGCATGTCAACACTGAAGACTCAATGTCAAACCTCTAAGAAGTTTTCCAGTAAGTCAGCTTTGAGTGATTTACATTGTGTGTCGAATGAAAGTCCAAAGAATGTCATGTACAGCAATAATGAAACAGCTGTTGACTCGGCAAGAGCGAGCATTCCGTGGCAACGTTAATGCCCGCTTGCACGGCACTATTTATTTGAAAAATGCCTGTGTTATTTGTCAAGCGCATTTTCCCCAAATAAAGTTCAGGTAACGCGACTTCAAATTGAAGGATTACATTAAAAGATGCTTGTTTCCACTCCGAGTGAAACACAGCATTCCAGTGCCTGGAAATGAGCTAGCCTGGAGATATTTCTTTTTAGGGCTTCATTGCAAACCGCATATGACTTTAGTGGAAAAAAAAAGGCATGATTTCTTCTTAAAGGCAAACGTTGCATCATGCCCAGCCAGCGCAAGTCACCCGGCTGCGACGCGCCAGTGAGGGAAATTGAATCTTTTTCTTTTTGTGCCTGCAAGGTTGCAAGCTGACAGCGATTTTTAGTCTCTGGGGGCAAAAAAAAAAGGGCTGGACATGTTTGCCATGCCAAGACAACACTCTTTAAACGAAAAATTCCTGCTAAAAGAATTATTGGAACATTTTCTGCAAAGAGCGGCATGATTTTAACCGGTGCTTGGACCGCGGTCTGATGTCATGGGGACAGACGAAGATTAGAGCAGAACAGATGAAAGCAAACGATAGCTTGGAAAGTGCTGAAAAGCTTGCGGGATAAAAGTTGAGAAAAAGGTGAACGATATTTTGACTATAAATTCGGAAATGAAATCGTTTCACATGAACACGTCCGAGCATTTAACTTTGTTGAAGACTTAATCAGATCAGAGAAGATCTTATCTTATTTCTAATACAAAGTCGCCGGGCTTTCAAAATAAACCTCGCGGCATCAAGCTACAAGGATGACACGGCGCCAGCAATCACACAGCCATTGAAGCCCATTTCTGGTTCATAATGCGAAGCAGGTGTGAAAATGAAGGAGTCGCGTCGAGGGAGACATTAGCTCGTAGGGGTGAACGAGACGGGCCGAGGAAGAAAGGCGGGATGAGTAATCGGTCCATTTTCGGCTGCAGACGCGTTTGCTAGAATACTGAGATGAATTAACATGGGATGTTTTCAGGAAAGCTTTTTTTTTTTCTTTCATACAGCGTTTACACATATATTGTACATGTATTTTCAAAGGTTATTTTTAAACAAAAAAAAATTGACTCTTAACTTCCATAAAGGTGGGTGCAATGTTCAACAAGAGGAAGACGCGAGTCCCACAGTGTTGAGAACCACTGAGCTAAACTGCACTGTATGTTTGCGACATGTCGGACGGGTTAAGTTCCGGACAGTTAAGTCTTGATGGTTTCACAAACAGTCCTTTCGGCTCTTCCCTGCAATAAACCCAGTCACCTCCGCTGCGAACCACAACGTTTCTGTTGACGTCAGACCGTGCATGAAGTCTAGCTCCAAACACAAAAGACAACTGCACACAGACACACGGTCAAAAAAAAAAATGACTCCGCTGTGAGTGCCTGCCCACATTTTATTCTCGAGTCTCCCCCAAGAGGCCATTTTGCTCTCGAAAGGGTAAATGAAGTCATGCCAGTGGCACACAACTGGCCAGCAGTCTTTTATACTTTTGGACTGACCAGATGTCATACGCACACGCACGCACGCACACACGTACACACATTTACAATTTCAACAAAGGAAAAGAGTAGTCAAGCTTTGTGGAAATGAAAACAACTCAAGGAATATTCTCGAGGACGAAACTTTAAGGACGAGAGCCAGTTCAAAAGACTGAATGCAAAGCTGGAAATTCGGGACAGAGGTGGAGGATGAGGAACAGTCATGAAAGACAAAGAAAATTCAAATCACAAATGAAACAAATTATTGGGACTAAAAAGAGACGCGTGATGAACAAAACCTCAACGTGAGGAAATGATGGATGAATCTGAGGCAAGAATTTGAAAAAGTGAATCAAAAACAATACAAGCCAATGTCAAACAAAAGTTGCACAGAAAACAAATCTTATGAGTCTGCTACTTTTTTTTTTCCTTTTTACTTGACCAAAATATGCTGTTTGGGGCTTTGGTATTTGACATCCATACAGTTTGTGTTCTCTTCAAAGATGTGCCTTTTGTCACACTTCAGGGTCGGTGTATCAACTTTACGAGAGTGAAAGGAGAGTCCCAACTGGCGAGGTCGGCACCGCGCACCCCAATCCACACGCCCTCGCCGCCACCGCCCGACTACCGCCACGTACCGGAGTCCCCCGTCACCTCCGGCCCTCCGGCCAGAGCACCGCCCTTGGTCCAGCTACCGCCGGGACCCCCGCCGGCCCGCATGCCCCCCGGGCTTCACTGCCCACCGCCGTCGCGTCCGCCGCCTAGCCTGCGACCCTGAATCACCCAGGTAAAAGTCCCCCAACAGCTTCCCCCCAACCCCACCCCCTCCTTGTGGACCCACTTTAACTTCACAGACTGACCACTCTGTTGACCAGCTCCTTCAGTCTGAAGTCAGTCCTCCAGCCTGGGATTCGTCTGCTATTCACCCAGAAAAAAAACACCAGCGTGATCAGTTAGTCGTTCATTTTGTTCTTTTGTATGGGAAAGTCCGTCAAGTCCACTGGCTAAGATTTGCCCGTCATGCTTCTTGCGCCCTGAAAGAATTTCTGTTTGCCATGTAGGTTTCACCAAGCGGGCTCTTCATTAAATACTATCAGGGCGCCGTTTCAGTTTTTAAAAAAACCTTCTGACGGATGGCCTTACTAAATTTATGAAAGGATTGTAATTCAACAATCACGCAAATGTTTTACATACGGAAGCGTGGGACTGCCAATGTGGAGTAAAAATATTTTGACTGGCAAATACGTTCGAACCTACGTAGCATTTTCCCAGAATGCCATAAGGCATGCATGATAGAAAAAAAGATGAATGTAAATCATACACTGCAGCCATAATCAAAGCATAAATAACAATAGCACATATTTAATTTATGAACCTGTGAAAAAATAAATGAATAAATAAATAAAAATAAATAACGATTTTTATTTACATGCGCGCGTGGCTACGTCTGAACATATTTGCCAGTCAAGCTATTTTTACTCCACAGTGGCAGCTCCACACTTCCGTATTATTCCAACTCCTCAACTGAGAATTTTTATGAAAATAACCGACTGGGCTTTTTCGACAAGCAAATTTTTTTCAGTGTTTTGCACACCATGTAATGATTTGCCAAGCAGTTTAACTTGATGTTGTATTTCATACAAAGTGAACGGGGGGGTGATGCAGGGAACCGTTGAACAGGATGATTGTTGCAGGACAGCAAAATCTTTTGGGACCAAAGTCAATCGAAGCAATAAATATGATTTATTGGATGTTTTCTTAATCGACTACTGAGTTATGAGTTTGCCATCGAGAATTAAAGAATAATCGGGTTTCGAATTTGGGATATTTTTTTTTTTTTTTTTGCAGAATTGATTGGGTTGAGTTCCAAAGACGGTTAGCTAAAATGTCGGTGCTATTTTGGTCAAAATGTTCTATTTTTTTAGGCAACAACGTGCTAAAAGCAATTTCTCAATTCAGGAAAAGTCATGTTGAACGACATACATTTTTGTGTGTTAACAGGGAAGTGTACAGAAGGTTTTCTTTTTTTTCTAAGGTATGTTTTTGCATTATATTTTCAAGATGTGTTTTTGTTGGTTGTTTTTTAATTTTCTCTTTGAGGCTTTGGATTTTGTCCTTATACGACGTGATTTGATTTACAACATGACAATATGTAATTGTTGGTTATTTTGTTTTGTTTTTAATCTGCGCACATATACTGCTGGAACACAGTACGCTGTTTTTGTTTTACATCCATGGCATTTAAAACTCATGAATTCAAGCTGCCATAAATCAGGTTAATGACTCTCCTCGTGTTTTTTTTTTTTTGTTTGTTTTTTTTCCCCGGATTCAATCCCGATTCTCTACTTTTGTATTATGCTATGTCTACATTCTTTTTTTTTTAATCAGCAAAGGTCACGTTGCAACTGCAGGGCAGTTCACAGAGCATCTAATTTATTTCCTGAGAGAAATGGAGGAGAGTACCGGTACTTGAAAAATCGACAAGGTGTCCAACCACCGACATAAACACTGTGCGCAGAGTCTACAACCAGCTTGCCAGTCAGACAAGGCCTAGCAGCTTTTCAATCATCACCTCTGCAATGTTCTCAGATCTTAACATTTTAATTGGGTACAATATACACTCGCAGGCCACAACATTTTGTCTTCTTGGTAGTGACGTCTCATAATGTTGTTGTTCCTCATGAAGTGTTCAGTGAGTGTATTTTGTAAGCTATTTTAGCGATAAAAGAAGCGTTGACAAACGATGATATTCCTTTAATACGCCTTATGGATTCTTCTTTTGTTCAATGGTTATTTTTGGGCTTTGTTCTCGAACTTGTTTCTGTCTCCTTTGTGATGTACAACACAGAAATCAATCGTTGCTTTAAATCACTTTGCTGAAGGAAATGCTATGCCATTTGCCCGGCTGATTTGACAGCCCAAATTACAACTATCAAAATCAGGGGGAAAAAAAATCAAAATGCCTTTTTGAAGTACTTATAACGATCTATCAACGATGTACAATCATTTTTATTGACTCTATCATTAACCACTCGTCTTCTATCGTGTGTGTAATCATTGTTATCGTCACGGTGATTTTGAATGCACTTGATGAATTTGTACATGTAAAAAAAAAAGAAAAATAATCATACTACATTTCATTTATGCAGCCACATCCCGTTTTGATTGGTGGGGTGGGAGCTTTCCGAGTGCCTAAAACAAAGTGAACCTCGAGCATCTGTGGCCTTTTGTAAGTCTTTCCTACTGCAGGAATTCCATAAATAGGGAACAATTGCAGTGGCTTACATGGGGGGGTGGGGACAGGACATTCCCAAGAGGCATGTGTTATACTAATCAGTGTTTTTACATGTGCAGTATAAAAAAAAAGCAGTACTGAAGCAAATATGAAAGACATATATGATTTCTTTACCGGTTTGATCTTTTGAACTGTATCAATAAAGGTTGACGTCCAAGCTTCTATCAGACAGTTTCGACTCTATGTGTGGATTGAAACCAAATGTCATTGTCAAGTGCAAGAAGCCTGTGTGCACTTAAAGGCTGCCTTCTATCGAAGCTGACTAGCCCCACCCCTTTAACCTCTGCAGCAACGTTGGCAACACTGACATCGACTTTTCCAGAGATGAGCTCTGGAAAGGACGCTGAGCATGTGCACTCAACTTTTTGGGTTGACCATGGTGAGGCCTGTTCTATGTGGAAGCTGTCCTGTTCAACCGCGATGTGGTCATGGACCGTGTACTGCAGGCTCAGTTACAGGCTATTTGACAATGTTTTCATTGCCTTGGCCATCTTTATGTAGAGCAACATTTTTTTTTCAGACTCTCAGAGAGTTCCGTTCCATGAGATGAATTTCCACTGACCACTATGGGAGAGTGTGAGAGTGGTAACACCAAATTTAACATATCTGCTTTCCATTCACACCTGAGACCCATAACACGGAGGGGTCACGTGACACCAGGGAGGGAAAATAACAAATCAGGCCCAAATTTGGACATTTTCACTTCGGGGTGTACTCTCTTTTGTTGCCAGGGGTTTATTTACACATTGATGGTGAATTATTTGGAGGGGACAGAATATTCACATTGAAATACAAGCTGTACACTGCCTACTTTACCTGCTAGCAAAATGTCATTTCTTCAGTGTTGTCCCATGAAAAGTTGTACAAAAAATTAGATTGATTGATTTCCAGTAATTTATATCAGTTGTGCGGTCACTTTTGTGGAATACGGGATGCATAAAGAATCTGTAATAGTTGCAAGAGTTAACTTTTCACCTTCGAGTTCCTATGGTGGTGCTGTAGCAGGAATAACAAATGTGTTTAGAATGTGTTTCTGGTACGATATTGCCCAATGGCAATTCCAGTTAAATACTTTGTAGAGTCTGTGTTTCTTTTCCCCCTCTTCACGCTGAGGAAAGTGGGTTGAGTCATGGACTCGATCCAAAACATGAAGATGGAGAAACTGAGGAAGGATAATTTGCTCTTTGTCTCTAATTTCATTGATGACATGTTTACGGCCGTTTGGTTTTCCCTCCGCGACGCTGTCTCTCATCCTTCCTTTCTTAGTGACCCAGACAAATGAAGAACTTGGGAATGCGCTGATGTTTCATCTCCGTCTCACATTACCGCCAGACTGAAAACCACTGACCTGACAGAAAAACACCATGCCGAGAGGTTGGTTTGATGCATGACTGTTGCCTGGATTTTCCTGGTCACCATGGCGACTGAAGTCAACACCAAATCTTTCGCGGCCTTGGAACCACTTTGCGTTGCTGCGAGGGAGAAATTGGTTGTTTAGCTTGAATTTGTCTTTTCTGGCTGTATCACAGAATCTACTCCCCAACCCCACAGTCACCGTTTCCCTCCACTCCCATCTGTAACAGAGCCCCCCACCCCAGCCCCCTTGAACAGTGGCGACGTGGAGCATATCCCTTGAAAGCAAGACCTATGACATCACTATGAAGAGACAATGCGCTGAAGTAGTGGTTGGCACATCTGCCTCACATTCAAGAGGATCCAGATTGGAATCCTGCAATAGTATGCGCTCCATCACAACAACTCGCCAGGTTGCTTTTAATTTGACCCAGATTGTGTCCAGTAAACAACACAAAGACCATTATTACCATCAGAAACAGTCACCAGGAAGGGGGACAAACAGATCTCTCACAAAACAAATGCCCACGCATGCACGCACACACACAAACAAGGAAGGTAAAATTTCAAACCCTAACAAACAAGTGTATCACATGTAGACTTCACAAAAACAATGTGCTGTCTGGTTTTAGGCTGCTGCGCGAAATGCAGCTTAGCGTGGAAGTCGTTACAGTAGTTGCATTAAGGAAATCTCATGGCACACCATCAAACAAAACGTCGTCGCTGTACATCGCTCGGCCTCCATAGATGAGCAAATTATTTGCGAAATGAAACTGGATAATTTCTTGTGGCACGTTTAAGGATGTCTCGTGGCCCATCAATGTACAACAGAACCACTGATATCGAAAATGTGAGAGTTGATCTTTCCCTTTCCTTGAAAAAAAAAGACACTTGGATGCTTTCTGCACAAGCAGCAGGAGTTCAGGAAGCGATCCATGCATCTTTCCATTTTAGTGGTTCTACTAAGACGTCACTGTGTTGCTCCCTCCCTCCTAAAAATGTGATGAATGTGAATTCCCCGTCGAGCCACAGTGATTGTCTGATGTCGCAGGAAGCCAAGCAATCCCGACTGCGCAACCTGATAGCACAAGAGGCAGTGACACAAATTGTCATTTTCCATTGCCGTGCCCTGTGGTGCGGCTTGGAGGCTCTGTATGTAGGCCACTTTTCTGAAGATGCGTGTGTTTTTCAATCAAGAGTGCGCCTCACTCCTGTCAAAAGCGAATGATTTAGATGGAGTGTTGCGAAGAGAATGAAAGTTGTTGAAGCTCTCTGGGTGACTGACTGCAAATTCAGCTACAATATTCCAATCACGGCAGTAGTAAGGTCAATGTATTTATTAACCTGGCAGAGAAAAACAAAACAAAACACTATCAATGTTATTTACCTTCTCTGTCCATGCTCAACCTTCTATTGGCTGCATTACTACTGGGCCCTGTGCCCAAGCCTGTCAGGATGCAGCGGGTGACCAGGTTCACTGTGGTGGTTACAGCAAAAGCTCTGCAGGTGACACACACACACACACACACACACACACACACGGTCGAGCTTTAGTTGAGCGTTAGGTAAGTAGATAAAAGCGTGGTGAGAATAGGAGACGGAGGATTAAGCCGCCAAAACTAGACATTACAAACACTGGCTTTTGAGAGGATTTGACTCCTTTCTATCTATTCTGGTTAGAGTCTTGTGCTATTCTGGTCGGAAATTTTGCATAACAATTTGATATATTAATAAACCATAGTGAGCACACGTTATATCACAAACAATCTTCGGTGTCTTACGTAGGAGTGCCACTTCCTGTGTGGTGAACTAACACCAAGTAAACAGGCAGAAAGTAAATGAGGAAAACATGGAGACTTCTCCTTTGGATGACAGTGTTAAATGGCACTTAGTGGGAGAAGCAAAAATAGATTTGGTACTGTTTGCACTTCTTCATTGTGAATGTTTACTTTTGGGAAAGGTTGAATGTGATGGAAAACAGAAGCAATTAAATCTTGTGCAGGACAATGTTACTTAAGTGGAAGTGAAAGGCTTTTCAACATTTACTCATAGGCAGTATTTAATCCCTGTCGTTTTGGGAAAAGTGTGTGTATTGTGTGCAACACTATAGTGAGTATTGTGCAGTGATATGAATATGTGTATAAAACATATAGGTACCACATAACAGTCCACAGACGTCTGAAGTTATCGAAAGCGGATTTGTGGCTTGAATTCCTGGTGAGAAGTATTAACCTCGGCTGAATACTGAACTATTTTTTTAGATACTGTATTAGTTTGTTTATATATGAACCAAAACATGAAAACATTTTTTACCGAGCGTTGCGTTTCAGGCTGATTTTAACGAAAAAAAAGCAGTTGTGACAATCAAGGCAAATGTCGCAAACTCGTCGCCTAGGAGCTACGTCATCTGGACGCGCTTTTTTTTTTTTTTTTAAATTAGCTGCTGTTGGATGCGTCTGGAAAACAGATTAAATGGACTGCAACTCCCAGATTACTGTTCGACTGCACTTCCAACGGCCGTGCATTAATATCGAATTAATACATTTAAAATCAACCTCAAAGACTCATATATTAAATGAATTTTCAAAGACGAAAACTAATGATATTTTGCAAACGTAAAATACAGTTCCAGTTACGTTTCTTTTTTGATAAACACTAAGTAAGGCACCCTCCAAATGAGCTCCAATAAGAAGCAGACATACAGTACTAGTTTCTATTTTGAGTCTCACTGAAATTACCCCATTTTTAATCCCATGCAAATTAGCCAGTAGTATGAATTTGGGGTTTTATTTAATATTTGTAGTAGTATTAATCAAGTGCAGAATAAAAAGATCAAAAATAGGTCACTAAGTGTTGCGTAATTAAGTAAACTCTTTATTCTAAAACAACTGGTTGACCTTCCTTCTTGTGTAGCTACGAGTGAAACGCAATATAGAAATAAATACATTTAAATCAACCCTGAAAGCTCATGAATGAAATTCAAATGACATTTTCGCTAAAATATAGTTAGTTATAGTTAGGTTTGGAAATTTAAGATGTATTTTTTTTTCTTGTCAACGAATATGCTTTTTCCGTTTTTAGTTTTAGTAAATTCGTTAGTTCCTTACTATCGGGTCATATCGGGGCTCTCGCTTTAGAAAGAGTGTAGAATGGGCTGAGACTTGCAGAGTGACCACAAACATGAAGCTCCCAGTGAAATTCCACTGTCAATAGGGGCTTTTTTCCCCTAGGCCTACTTGCACCACAACCCTTTACAGACCCTCGAGTGACTAACTGGGTTTGCAGAAAGAGGGAGGAGGAAGTTGGTGGTGCGCTGCTTTGAAAGGATAGATTCACTAACTACATCGATGGCCTCAGACCTTCGGTTTCCTGCCTTTTGCGCTCATTATATGTAAGTGAAGAGCGTCATCTTGTGGTAAATTAGAACACTGGCATTTTGTTGCGGTGTATTTTACGCTCATTATATGTGAGTGAAGAGCGCCATCTTGTGGTAAATTAGAACACTGGCATTTTGTTGCGGAGCATTTCTGGTTTCAATGTCAGTTTATGACATATGGAGGTTACGAAGAGAGCCCAGTGAATTAGAATGAAAAAATGTTGTGCAGGAAGTGGATGCTGTTTACTTCATGTGTCGTATTGTAAGTAATTTTGAAGCAGTGGTGTGGTGCTCGAGTGGTGAGCACATCGACCTCAAAGTGCAGAGATCGTGGGTTCGATGCTGCCTGCAACCTTCCTGTGTGAAGCTTGCGTGTTTTTGCATGCGTGGGTTCCTCCAGTTTGCTCCCACATTGAGGAGAAGTGATGATACACTGACCCTATGGCTAAAAACAATAGCACGATTTAATTAAAAAAAACAACATGAGATGGGCAGGTTGTAAGAATTCTTATTTAATTTTGAAAAAGATGAGCTCCCAGGTGAGAGGTCAGAGCGACAGCTTGCAATACAAAGTGTCAAAGGTAAACAAACAGTTGACACAGGCGTCTGCTGATTCTATAGATACAAGGGTTGTGCTCGTTCCCGTTTGGATATGGAACTCGCATAAACAGCTGGTGCTCTATCAAATTCACGGTCATCTAGGCCTATGTCTAGAGGATATTTATTGCACAAAGATGACATTTCTTACTCACGTTTGCATACAATGAATAAGAAACCTACCCAATAGCAAGAAGCTCTGGCTAACAAGCTGAAAGGAATTGAAATCTTGCGATGCTGAGATGTGGTTAAAATGTATTTCCATGATTGTACTCTAAAAAGCAGATGTAGCCAATGGTGTTACTTAAAATTAATTTTGAAAAAAGGCATTGCAAACCAATGATGTTGCCTGTTTTAAGAGGCAATATCAACATAAAAACAGCATAAATCAAGTGCGCCAGCAACCAGAAACTCAATGTGCAAAGGCAAGTCATGACAGACAAGATGAGCCACTCCATTGCACTGAATCTGATTTGAGTTCAAGTGTAGTTGCACTTTTGCTACGGGTTTGTTTTTTTTCCAGCTTGAAAAATTCACCTGATAGCTATTTAATAGCAATAACGTTGTTCATTGCATTTTCTTTTTCTTTGCAGCAGCAAACGGGACAGTTTGCCTTCTAGACTAAACAAACTCATGATGTGCAGTGACACAGTTAGTCACATACTGTTATCTGAAAATGGTTCATTAAAACCTGCTTTTTTTTTATGTTGCTACTTTGTATGCAGTCTTGTGCTTTTGAAAACATCAGCACGAGGAGGATTAGTTCAGAGTCCAGTCGAAATCAAGGCGCCACAAATTAAAATATGTTCTGTTCCAGAGCGTATTACGGATGGATTCCCAATTTAAGACTATAAAAAAAGGCCCTTTAAAAGGCCATATTTAAGATCTCTTCACTTAATATGAGCAATTAGAGTGGGCAATATGGGTCCAATATTATATACAGATATTATAATAGAGTATAATTGTTGGTATAATTAAGACTGACTAGGAAACAGGAGTTCAGAACATTAAGGAAGCTCCCTCAATCCCATGGCAAGTAATACAAAAAAAAAAGACAACAATGAATTGATTACCGTAAATTTATGATTCATTTTACGCACCGTCGAGTGAAGAAACTGAATCGAATACCCATTCCAAATGTTGCAACTCATATAAAAGACGGTGTTCCTGGTCTGGGACAGGAAATAGGGGCAATTTCTTCGGGACCATCATGACAACTGGTGAGCGGACTGATATTATTTTAGGCTGGGGGCAAGAACAGCTCCAACGAAACGAAAAGGCCCTTGGTAGTGTCAGGAACAGACATTACATCCTACTTGGATAGGAATTCTTTATTTCCTGAATAAGCGACTGCAGTTCCTGAAGAAGATATGTAATAATGTGAGGGTGATATATTCCTGCAAGTATGCACTCGCACATGGATCAATGCACGCAACCTAGCTCGGATTGAGTTTTTAAAAGGGCTAGACCAGCAAATATACGATCCATGTGGACATGAACCCCTTTTTTGTTTTGTCTTGCAGAAGGCACACAAACTCCTACAAGAGTTCTCTTAAAATGTGCAAAAAAACCACGCGCAATTAACATCATTTTCACAATATAAGAAAATATTAAAGGAGATTGTTGTCCTGTTTTCTGTCTTCCCCTTGGAAAGAAGTAGGATCGCGGCGACGTTTCAGAGTCCCACACAAACGCCACCTCGTGTTCTCCCCATTGGCACCTGGCAAGCTTTAGTTCAGATAAAAGGGCAACGGCCAGAGTCTGCATGCGTTGTGCTGGCTTCATCCGTTTTGAAGAATAAAACGCTCCACACTGCTTTGGTTCTTGACCTCAGCTACTCCGATTCAGGGCTGCTGCTGCTGGTGGCGGCGGCGGTGGGTGTGGGTGTGGGGGTGGGGGTGGGGGTTGTAGGTGACATCTTGGGTTGCGCCTGAGGGTTGACAATGACCTGAATGACAAAGTCCTTCTGGATCTTGGTGTCTTGCAGCCGTGTCTTGTCCGTAAGGAGTTTGCCCGAAAAGAACCAGCGCTGGTGGGCGGCCTCGATGTCCTCCTGGGCGTGCAGCTGCTTCTTCAGCTGACCAATAGTGTCCGTCATGCTGGCGCTCAGGCGCAGGTCCTTGCCTGTGGACAGGCGCACCTGCAGTCGACGTGCAATGTTAAGAATGACACCGGCCCAGAGAAACTTTTCAGATAACCTAATTGTGTACACAGTGTCCACAATGCGCTCGCCAGCAGCTCTTTCGACACGTGCGTCAGCTGTCATACTGAATGAATGCTGTAATCTGGCACAATAAACACAGAAGATGCTTTGGGAGGTGTGGCACCTGCAGGGCAGGATGCTACATGCAGACTTTACTGGGGCGAACGGTATCAGAATGGAAGGAATTAAACACAAGTGTCATCTGTACCTTCAGCTGAAATTCCTTCTTAGGCGCTACGGAGAGCTGGGGACTGTCGCTGTGATCGTCGTCGCTGCGCTCTGAAATGAGGTTGACGGGTGGAGCGAGACAGTAGACGGGTAGCTGATAGCGATTGCCGAGTTCGTCGTAACACTCCGTCAGAGTACCTGGGGAAAAAGATCGTTATCGGTGTTTGCATAACGAGACCAACTGGTTTTTTTTGGAGACCGGTGCATGTTGTGCTCTGGCTCACCATGTGGCAGGGTGATACTGGCCCCGTCTACGATGGCCTGGGCCAGCTCGTGGTCATTACACTCCAGAGCCACTGCGGCGGCCTTTAGGGCATCCCAGATCTCCTTGCGGCCATCAAAAGCGGGCGCCGTGTCCCAGAATTCGTCACGTTTGCTCCGCAGCTGGCCCTCGGTCATCGGGTAGTCGCTCTTCCACTTGGGTCGATCTTTCTTTAGTGGCTCGTTACGAGCTGTCAACAGAAAGGGGACCAAAATGTTAATGTGGGAGTTCCAAAATGGCAGCCGCATCACACAATGCGACAGAGCTTTCGCATTGCTTTGAGGGATGCGTTGTCAGAAATCTAAAGCGACGTGATTGACTGCGGGAGGAAGGGCGCAGGTGATGTCTCTAAATCAACAACGGCCTTTTGCTTTGTTGTCTCTCGACACGTCTAGCTGTCAGCAGACGACAAGAGAACATCCAGCACAACTGGATCTAGTCGGGACTCCATTCAGAGTTTGCAATATGCATGAAGTATGTGTCGCTGTTATCGATGGAACTTGACTTGTGTTTCACCTGTCATTAAATATTTACCTTAAGCACTTATCTAACAGGAGGGAAGACTGCTGGACACATGCACGTTTTTACCGCAACAGTTTCCAATCCCTTCTTGAAAAAGAAATGTGGTCACAGCCACATTTGCTTTTATCATCAAACTCACATTGGAAAAAATATCAACTAAAACTTGCGAATTACTACCTGGTTCTCGGTTATTGAGATGGGATGCAATGGAAAAATGAGGACTTGAAACTAGGACTTTCAAACTAATTATTTATCATGCAAGCAGCTTAGGGAGAAGGACATGGTGTCATGGTGTAAGATTAGTACATGCGCAAGCACTCACTAAGTTTTCCTGACATATAATATATACACCGGCATGCAGGATTCCGTTGACACACATCCCCCCCCTAAAAATGGGCCAAAAGATTTTATTTCCTAACACAAAGTGGTAAAAAAAAAATTATAAATGCACACAGTATCCTGTAAATGAAATATAAGAAGCCTCCAATTGCTGTATTTCTGAATCTTTTTTTATTTTATTTTTTTAGGGCTGTTTTGCATCCATACAAATACAATGGAACCCCTGGTGGAACACCCCAGAGTTTATGTTCACCCAGTGTTAAGCCAAACGGGGAAATGGAAGACATTGTGGCATCAGTAGCATCGTGACAAGTTGGATTTGCCTCTTACCCAAATTAGCCGTGTGGTAGGTCATTCCGTACACAAGTCGCTGTCATGAGCTTATTTGTACATTGTGACAGTTAAGAATGTCAAAATGTTCCTCCTGACTTTTTTTTTTTTTTTTTTGATGGGAACTGGTTACAGGTCATTTCTTTTGTCGTTATTTCCTGTGGGGGAAAAATGGTCCAAGCAAACTGGCAAACTTGTACTGCAACGTATGTCTTTCTCGTTGTAGAACGTGAACATAGAGGATGTATACTTGAAGAAGATAGGGGCTATTTTCCCTAAACCGCTGCTTATCTTATCATGAGAACACTTCGGTCTTCTGTGACTACAGATAAAAACAAAAAAACACACACAGAAGCTCAGTCTCCAGCCCCTTCCACATTATAACAGTTTTTTTTCCCCGAAACCTTTTCATCTGTTTGCTGTTCTGTGCCCATGCTGGATGCGGGGCTGAAGGAAATCCTTCAGTGTGCCGTCTTCCAAGGTGGTCTCCTAAATGTAACTGATTTGAAATAAAAATTAAAAAAATTAGCTAAGGAGGAACCAGCCAAACTCCGATATTTGATAGATTCCGCGGCATAGCGCCGATCTCATCCCGACCATTAGTGACGTAAGCGCATCAAAAACTATATATGAATCTCAATTTTGCTTTTCATTTTGTTTTGTTGGGGTGCAAAATGCACATTCAGACTCGCAGATTTATTTTTCAGCCTTGAGTTGGTTGAAGGAATTGGAATACCCAGAATGCATTGAAGTGCCTTTTTCTTTTGTAAAATATATTTTTTTGTAAATAGTTATCAATAATTCCAGGGGTTTGTGGTGGTTCGCTAATTCTTTCCTCAAGTAGCAGATTTGCCTTTTCCTGACTATACTGCACACAATCATTAGAGAGCTCAGACAAAGGATCACCGTTAGACGTGGGGCAAATGGATTTTAAACTCTGACAAGGCAGTGACAATACTTGACTAATGACAAAGGCAAAACCAAGTTCATAAAAAATGTGTTTGTTTAAAACAAAAAAAACAAAGACAGGAAGAAAGAAAGAGAGGGGACAATAATTGGCGATGCCAGTAAGTCAACATGGAGGGAGGGGACATGTTTAGACATTTTGTTTGGGGGTGCGGCGGCGGGGGGTGCATGGAGACAGTGGCTACAAGCCAGGCTTGGCTTGTGGTCACTACACTCAGAAAAAAACACCCACATTCAAGTGATATTGACACCATTATGATGTCAAGTGGAAGCGATTATTTATGGACAAAAACTTTTTTTTAAGCAAGAGCACAAACTACAGTCTCTTGGGGATTCTTTAACAGTCTCGAGAACGGGTTCCCGCACTCAGTCATGGACTTGTGTGTCTATTTATATTGGGCCTCCTGGTTTAACAGTAAAGGGCGAAATGGCTTTTTGATTCCAAGGTTGCTGCTAAACGTTGACCTGCTGCGTACTTTAGCATTCGTTTATGTCAAGGATGTGTCAATGTCCTGCAACACGTGATTTCACGTTAGTAAGTTCTGGTCCCAGGGAGGAACATTTCTAATTTGGGTCTTCAGCAGAAAACGTTTGGGAACGCCTATTTGAGAAGATGAGCTCTGTTGTTGTAAATTCTAAAAATAACCGTCACCGAAGAACATTCATCAATGTTGTCTTCAAAGCGTCGACGTGCCAAATCATCAAAAGGAATTTTTACGTGGCATGCCAAGCCAGATTTCTCTTGAATTGTTCTCCGGATCCGAAACTATGCAGCCATTCAGAGAGCATGCCGGTTTGTGTGCTGCTGCAGTTTAGTCTGGTGGCTAATATAATATTTACTTCTCGTTAAGTGCTCCTGCAGCCATCCAAATTCCATGTAGGAAAGAAGATCAAAACACGGCTTGGCGCCAGTGTTTATCTTTTGAAGAATGTTCAATTCCGAGAAGATAATAGACATAATAAACCTCCTCAACAATACTGACCGCATCACAGGCATTCTCGCCGGTATCGGCAACAAATGCTGTTTGTGTCACAGATATTGGGTTTGAAAAATTACTATTCAAAATCCATTTCAAGCTGTATATTGCTGCATATTTATCTGGAAATAAACTAATGTACCAAAAATATATTTTAAAACTTTTTCACGTTCAAAAAAAAAAAAAAAAAAAAAAAAGAGTAAGGCTGGCGATATGGTATCACGAGCTCTAAATTCCGACTCTCAAAAACCTCGTCACGTTGTGCACGAGTCTCCTCATGCTGTAAAATTAAAAAAAGATATGAGGGTTTCCAGCAGGGTACAGATGTGTGCCGAGTTTCCCCACAAAACATAAGGTAAGGGTGAAAGTGACTCACGCTTGACCCATTGCATCATTGATAAAATAAATTAATTGCAACAGGGATGAAAAACAACATTGAATATGTATACATCAGAGGATAATTCTAAACAATACATTTTCTCTGTGGTGCATACATTTGGTCACAGCATCAGAAACTCAACGACGCAGCAATTCAACACAAAGCAAAAGCTGAAACACAATCACAAGTGGTCATCATTACATTTCTCACTGGGAATGTGTTGTAGTCCTGACATGGTGTTCTTACCTCCACGACCACCGTTCCTGGAAGAGCCTCTGCTCTGTGTATCATCCCATCGTTCCCAGTATCTCCCCACACATCCTCCCATGGTTAGAGGGGATGCACTCTGCTTCCAAGCGTCCTACTAACTCAGCAGGGGCCCCATTACAAACTGTAGCCCAGCAGTGAGGGTGGGCAACGGGTTTTGGTGTTGCAAGCAAAGTGTTCAGATCACTGCGTGTTACCTGGATCAGTTATGTTCAAACACGATTAAAGAGCGTCACAACTCGTGGGCCACAAGATTCCAAGACTTTGATGCTTCACCGAGCGACTCCGTTTTCTTTCAAAACGTCCGGCCAGAGTGCAAGGGCATATCAAAGGGTATCTTTCTTTCTTGCTGTCCCTCGTTGTGATGTTGACAAATCGTCCAAACACTTTTCTCGCCCCAAGCTAATCACGTTAGCTAGTTAGCTTCCGCGTCAGGAAAACATTAACTTCGAGCACGAGTGGTATTTTCCACAACAATTTTTTTTCCCAGTGTGGAGACGGTCAGTAGCTACTTTTCCACTCCAGTTGTTCTCTACTACGATAGTCCAGTGTGGCGTCTGTTGTCAATTCCATATTTAAACCTTTAAATATCATTCCTCTTCCAGCAAAAGGTTACTGACGGAGGAGCTCGACTCCCAACTTTTTTTGCGCCTGCGCATGAGCTAACGTGATGATGACTTCACGTGAATTAGGATAAACTGCAACTATTTAAAAAATAGCTGATATTGAATTCTAAAGTGAACACAACTATCACTAACACGCGCGAAAAATAATTACATTTTTTATAATCAATTTTGTTATCGTAAAAGAGGAAGATTAATTCAAGTGCCACTCATCTCAAGGTGAAAATATAAATGTCTTTTGTCACTGAAGGCGTCACAAAATAATAATAAATGTTGTTTTCAATTACAACATGGACAGTTGCAACATTCTTGTCCCCACATGGAATTATATTAAAACGTAAAACGTGGTTAGTAGTACGCGTTGTGCTTTTTTTCATTCTTTTAAAGTCTGATATCCACACTTCGATGTCGCAACTCGATTTTGTGCGCATGCGTGCACCAGTGGCGTGAAGAGGCACGATGGCTGAAGAAAGTCCCGTGCTGGTGTCACTGGTGGAGGAATTTGTCTCGGGATTGCAAGACAGTAAAGCCAAAGATACAGCCGCAGGTGGAGGAATACGTGTTCAGTTTGACCCTCCGTTGAATACTTTTGCTTTCGTTTCCTTAAGTGCGTGCAAAGCAGCATGCCTGTGAACTAGCTAACTTAGCGCTTCAACATCCTGTTTGGTAATGAAGTGAATCGCAGTACACGTTTTATCATCATCTGACTTCTGATCCTAATAAAGATATGTGTAATAATTATATGTTTAACCCTACTGTCATGGGCAATTAGTCTTACAAAAAAGTGGTAGTTAGGCAGCGTGCTTACATGTTAACGGCACGTTACTTGCTAACATCTTGCAACGAAATGAACTTTTGACCTGCATGCTTCGAGCGAATGTGTATGTGTGATCATCGGCGATCATTTGGGAAGATTTGTGTACTTTACCATTTTTTTGTGTGTTTATACTTTCGTATATTTCTTTTCAGGTCTCAAAAATGGAGAGTTTACTGTTCTGCAGCTGGTGGAAGCATTGGGGTGAGCTGTCGATCCTTCAAATAACAAGTCAGCAGACCTTGAACGAGAGTTTGATTACACTGGGATGTTTTCCTTATCATTCTGCCGTTTTGGAGTAGCACAATGGAGTGCAACTATAGTTGTTTTGTGACAGTTATTCAAGCGGTTTCATGTATTAATTTTTTTTTTAGACCGAGTCTGACCAGCACTCAGCCTCAAACTCGAGCCAGAGGGGTCAAACTGCTCTCTGAGGTGTTACAGGAGTGCTATGAAGACCTCACACAGAAAGAAGGTGTTTCTCTTCATTCAGTCAATGGTTCATTTTCCTGTATTGGGGGTTCTCGGTTTACACAGGGCCAGCATCTACTGGTACTTAATAAAGTGAATATGAAGTTCAATGGGTGTGGAGATACACTCGCCTGACTTGCGTGAATGTGAGTGTGCATGGTTGTTCATCTCAATATGTGCTCTGTGTGACTGCTGGGACAATCTCCCAACACCCGTGACTTTTTCTGCAATTTCTACACTTGCAGTATCTACATATATAGAGCTATTTTGAAAACAAACGTCTTTATACTGTTCTGTTATTGTGTAAAATAACTGTACCCCGTGTCTCCTCAGTGGAAGTTCTTCTCTCGTTCTATGAGAACCGGCTGAAAGACCATTACGTCACCACACCGCCTGTCTTACAGGGACTCAGGACATTGGTGAGCTTTACCAGAACTACTTTTTATTGTTTACCAACGTCTATTGAACATGGTTAGTTCAGGTAATAATAAAACACACTATTATCCGATTCAATGGTTTTTTTTTTTCTTTTTCCTCCCCAGACCCATTGCCCAACATTGCCTCCCGGCGCAACAGTTTCCATACTGAAGTCCTTGTTCCAGGATGTTCATGTTCAGGTGAGGTCTCACAATCGCAGCACTCCTCAATTTTCCATCGTGAACAAACCATCAGCGCTACCGAATGCAGGAAACCCTCCACCACTTTGTCATGTGCTACCAACAGCTCGTGCGGTCAAAAATTGTTATAAAAATTAGTTGCTTATGGTTTGTGTATTTCTCCGCAGTCGCTGTTGCTGGCCGACAGAGCGTGTGTCTATAAGATGCTCATTAACGTCATGGACACCAGAGAGGCTGGTAATAATAATAACACATTTGACAGTTCAGAGTCGTTTTCAGAATGTGCAATGCATTTAATTCCCTAATTTCTGTCCACAGAACTGAAGGGATTAGGAGCCGACTTTGTGTTTGGTTTTGTCCAGTCGATGGATGGGGAGCGGGATCCTCGTAACCTCCTCTTAGCCTTCCAAATTGCCAAGAGGATCATCCACAGAGGTTACAGTCTAGGTGAGAGCGGTGACTCACCTTTTTTTTTTTTTATTATTATTGATGGGTGGGGGTATTGCACACTTTTAGACGCAACAAGATGTTCATCTGTTCAGCGTCAAAGTAATTTCCTCTGTTTTTGTTTTTGTTTTTTTGTTTTTCAGGTAAATTTGCAGAGGAGCTTTTTGAGGTGACGTCCTGCTATTTCCCCATTGACTTTACTCCGGTAAGTTCCTGTTTGTTCAGCTGCTTTGGTGAGCAATTGATGAAAGCAGACACAATTGGTGTTACGTTCTCATAATAGCGACTTCAACAAATCTGTAGAGGAGACCAGTCCAGTGAGTTCACACCTTTTTGACGCCGTTGAGAGAAAGTTTCGGTTTTTGGACTTTTGTTGTGTAGCTATTTTATAGTTTGTTTGTTTTTTTTTACGTTAAATTAATATTAACTGTTGACCTGCCTTCCTTAATTGAGACACCGTGCCTATTTGTGTTAAGGCCACTACAGTGCAAGGTTTTATGTACACATACTCCATCTTCCAGTTTATAAAAATCAAATTGGTAAAGATCGGATTTAAAAACATAAGCCTGACTTTATCAAAAGCCACATCCTGCCTTTTGGAAAGATGGGCAGACATATTTCAATGTCTTGCCTGCTGCTTCTTGTCAACCTCCCTCTGTACCCCTACCACGTTTCTCAGCCCCCCAATGACCCTCATGGTATCACCAGAGAGGAACTGATACAAGAACTGAGGGAAGTCCTCACGGGAACTCCGAAATTTGCTGAGGTTTGTCTACATTGTATTAATACCTACATTTTCCTACATGCTCTCAGTCACCAGTGAGGCTCCTTTTTATAACAAAAAAAATATATATATATATATATATACTATTTTTCAGTTTCTGCTGCCCCTAATCATTGAA